TAAAGCTGATAATGATAATCTGCTAGCACAGTACAGACCGGATTAATTATGGTTATCAATAACTCCTCACCCCTCTCCTTAACATTACATAGGGGGGAAGCTAGATTCAATTTCTAAAGTAAAAACCCTTAAAAAGGTAAGCATTTCTTGCAAGTTATGCAATATTACTGGGAACATTTAACAAGTGGTAGGTGTCATCCGAATTTGTCTGCAAAAGCAGAAATACACTTCATACTTAGTCCTATACTGTGGTGAGTATGTATTTCACCTACATTCACTGAGAAATTAAACAAGGCAGCTAAGTGTTTGCCATGGGCAGCTTTTCCTGTAACCACACAGTAAATGCAGTGGTGGTAATTATCGCACAGGCCTTGTAAACATACACATTTAAGTAGCCAATCCTACAAGCAATCAAGAAGGGAACTCCCAACAACTGAATGTATTGAGATGACCAAAGTTAAAAGCTGGGACCATTGTCAGTGGTGCTACAGCACATTTTCCATCAATGCATCAGTGTATGTGTTTAGTGTGTGAATATATATATCTATATATAGATATCTATATAAAAAATCAGGTAGTCCATAATCCCCATGCCATCACATTTCTGAAGGGAAATTAATACATGTCCCAAAAAGAATGTGTATCCCATAACGGTTACCGGTGCATCTGGGATTTTTTTTTAATGCTGCCTTGGGAGTTTTTAATGCTGCCTTGATATGCCCCATACAAAGCTGGTCCCAAATTTAGGGTCCAGAACAATGTAAATGCCACCTATGATGTTGTAATCTCTTGGTTTTGTCACTTGGTACCTTAAAAGCCCCATATCTATATACATTTTCTCTACTTAACATAAAAGTGTTAACTTAAAAATAGACCAGGTAGTCCATCAAGCTTGCACCACCATTTTTTCTTCTCTGAGTATACACATTAAGCATGAATTATAAGTTAACTTTTCATACCATATTTAAATGTTACACCCATATTAAGAGTGTAAAATAGAACATGGTCACAACCCCAGCCTCCCACCGTATTTATCTGAATTGCTGAATTGTTCTCTCTGCAGGCTGCGGTAATCTTCTGAATTTGGCGCACCATTCATGGCCAGATCCTGTCACAGGATCTGTGAGTGGAGAGACTACAATAGAGCTGCAGCTAACGATTATTTTCAAAATCGATTAGTTAGCCGATTATTAGGTTCGATTAATCGGTTAATCGGATACACAATAAAATAAAGTTTTAAAAAAGGCTCCAGTGATGGGACTACTAGTTTGTAGTGAGATTGTAGTCCATCACAGGAGCAAGCTTGGAGCGGTGGAAGTAAAAAAGAAAGATAGTGTGGTGTGCAATATAGTGAAATGGAAAGTGTAAAATTATACAGCAATGAATGCAGAATACCACCAGCTATAGAGGAATACAACAAATCCCAGCAATAGTACATAATAGCTGGAGGCATTCTGCATTGCGCTGTATAATGTACTATTACTGGGTTTTGTCGTCCTCTATAGCTGGTGGTATTCAGCATTGCACCACTGTATAATGTATTATTGCTGGGATTTGTAGTCCTCTATACAGCGCAATGCAGAATATCACCAGCTATAGAGGAGTACAACAAATCCCAGCAATAGTACATTATAGCGTGCAATGCAGAATATCACCAGCTATAGAAGAGTACAACAAATCCCAGCAATACATTATACATACAGTGTATAATGTATTGCTGGGATTTGTATTCCTATGTATAATATACAGCACAATGTACCATCAGCTATAGAGGAATACAAATCCCAGCAATACATTATAGAGTACCATGTGTGGGAAAGTGCATGCTTACCTGAGCAGTCTTCCAGCAACTTGCTTCTGAGATTGGGCCTGTCTATCGGCGGCTGTCATCACCCCACACCTGCTCCTCCTTACTACATCTCGCCGCGTCCCTGTGCCGATCGTGGATGTGGGTGGGCGGTGAGTGTGCGGTGTGTGGAGCATGGATAAGGGCGGGTCTGGCAGCGGCGAGCGTGAGGTGGGGAGGAGGTACGGCGCACAGCGTGTGGAGCTGTGAACAGGGCCAACTGATCGGAAGCCGATTAATCGATTATTGAAAAAGTTGACAACTTTTTCAATAATCGATTATAATCGATTATGTCGATTAGTTGTTGCAGCCCTAGACTACAAGTCCCATTTTTTTCTTTTATATGTCCATTATAAAATCAGATTGATAGCTTCACGTTTATATGACCACCAAAGTTCTCTTAAAATCCTTACATAATAAAACAAGAAGTGCAATTACCACTATGCTCGCAGCAATTTGCTTAGCTCAGAGATAGTGATTGTTTATCTGAAATGACTAAGTATACACAACATTTACGATTTTCTTTTATTCTCCTGGTTGTAGAGATAGGTGTGCGAATACTACAACCTTCCTTTTCTTTATTAGCCCAACTTGTATATTTACAATTTAAGGCGCTTGTTAGAGTGCTTGTTAGCAAGACGCTAAAGTTTATATCTCAACTCCCTAAGCTGATATGTAGTAGATGCTCAATGTGCCACTCCACATGGATGGTCCCTCTGCAACACTCCACACTCTAATCAGGCTTTCATGTCAGTCTGGGGAAATGCAGATTCCACACATATAAATATTGAAAAAAGATGAATAGGGTAAATTGCACAACAAGTGAGCCATTGTCAGCAACATAAAGGCTTCATGGGGTAATTAACTTCCTAGGGATCATTGGGTAAACTATTTCTTAGGTACATTTTCCTTAAAGGTAGAATTAAACCCTCATTGTGAAGAAATGCAGGCACTGTGCAACTGCACGTTCGCTTTAGTATCAAGTGGCCAGAAACTGGGTTTGACATGCAGGCGCTGTTGCTCCCACATTAACAGACACCAGGCAGTGTTGTCACCCTAGAACAAGTAATTACAGAGAAGGTTTTCCAGGTACAAATAAAATAAATAAGCAAAAGCAAAGTCCAAATGTACACCCATCACTCCAGAGTCCTCAAGAATTCCTTGGCCCTATGCCAACAGCTCCTGAGTAAGAAAAAGATAGCCCAGTTCCACTCAAATAGTGTAGCTGCACCAATATCACAATGGTAAGGAGAACCAAAACCGTGCAAAACAAAAGAACATAGCATTGGACTTTCGGAACCGGTAGTAGATCGTGTGCTCTGTCCCAAAGCCGGGAGGAACAAAATGGCAGGTTTCTTGCTTCCAGACCCCCTGTAGTTTAGTTGGACTGTGGCTTGTTACTAGCCTGACCGTTGGCCACAGGAGGTCATTACATCCTCCAGAGGTTGTTACAAGCTCAATCTGCTCCCATAGAATGTGAGTGCAACCACTGTCTTTCAACCATTAAGCCCTCGCAACGAGACCTTCCAGAGGTGCTGCAGAGTGTGCTCCGGTAGGCAGGCCATTTACTTGAATAGGCTGCCTACAGCAGCTAAAATTGCACTAAACGAAGTGAGTGCACTTAGAATTAAAACATTTTTTTTTTAAACACCCAAAAAAACCAAAAACAGGTAACCAAGCAATGTGGTGGGAAACTAAGCACATGCGATGGGTATGTGCATGGGGGATAATAGCAGTGCATCGCACCTAACATTACAACATATGATGCATGTGGCATTGTAAGAGCTCCCGCATCTCATATATGTGAATGCAAACTAAAGTTGTTTAACATTATGCAACACATCATTTCAGTGTAAACAGTTTTTGATTTTGGATATATGTATATTGTTGGTGCTTATTAGATTATCAAATGGACTCATGGAAAAGAAAATTGTTCATTTACAATAACTTTACATCTAACAATCCATAATTTATAGGAAATAAAATTGCTGAAATATATATATCAAAAAGTATTCCCTTTGAAAATGGTGTATTTTGTAACCAGTTTTGACATTAAAGGTCTTTTAGATCTTAATCAAAATAACTCTGGCAAGTTTTATTGTTCTACCTTTCAATTTGCAGTTTTTGTCAGTTTTAATATTTTTTTCAGACAACAATAAACACATTTTTGTTTTTAAAAAAATGCAGTAATGCAGTAATGTGCAAAAGCAAAATTCAGCTATCTATGATTATGAATTTATTAAAGAAATCAATTGCTAAAAACCGGATTAACAACCCCACAGCAACTGAAGCTACTGATGTCAGCTCTGTAAAGACAATGTAAAGAACATTTATGCAACGCACATGTCTCAGTTTTTGCCAACATGCATGTAAATGACTGTAATAAGTACATTTACAATATGATGCACCAAGATGAAGTGCAGTAAGCTGTAGATTGAATTTGAAATGCAGAGAAAGATCAATGTAATATGAAATGAAACAATTACAAAATTATACTGAACACCCTTGTAATCTCAGAACATCTCTGCCTCTAATTGTGTTCCCCTGTAGAGGAAGATGGATCAAAAATAAAGCTAATCAGAAGAGTCAGCATATATTTTAGGCAAATACTTCAACAACCCATTTGGTGATATAAAATATAACCACAAAAGCCAGAACCAAAATTGGTTTGTAATACTAATATTAATCTAGAAGACAAAATAATTTAGCAAAGCAAACTGCCAATTTACTTTTAGTCAGTCTAGTAGGGTAAAAAAATATATTTACTGGTCCCTGCAAAGGCAGTCAGATTATTTCCTTTGATCAAACACTGCAATGCTGAATCCAACTTATACCTAGAGATGCCATTTCTGGTAAGAACAGCACCTAATACTCACTAACACTTACTGCGGGATATCATAATCTCACCTGACAAGGAATTCCATACTCTGACAACCCAAACAGTGAAGAACAAATCCATTTAAGTGGGGATTAACAAGTTGCTGTTCCCATCACAGGCATATTCCCAAGGTTGAAGGGCTCAATAGAAAGGCTCAAACAAAACAGATATTGCACATCCAGGAACAGAAGTATAAAACTACTCGGAAATATTTAGAAGGCAACCAAAGCCTACAAATTCCAGATGTTTGTGGTGCAACATGGAGCAAAGACATACCCTTCTGGCATGGATTTCTGCCTGCGCTGGGAGCCTCCACTGGAGCCGGTATCACTGGAGGTGGAAAGACTGCTGGGAGAGCTACGACTTTGCTGAGATCGTCCAAGAGCCACAGATGACACAGAGACATAAATCTCTGAACTGGGAGACAGCCTTTTTTAAACCAAAGACAGATTTATTGCACACAGTATAACAGAGTTTTCCTAGCTACAAAGATAAAGAAGCAACTATCAATGGAACAAAATGAAAGTATGAAACACATGCAGTCAGGAAAATGATTCAGAATGAAAAATGCAGTAACATTTACAAATAAAGCCAAGACCAAATAAAATTCACAAACACATGCTGGCAATTTATGAACACAGGAACCTCCTGCTAAAATCTGACCATTGTGCCAAGCTCACCAGATTACATTATGTGGCAAAACTAAAACTTTAGTGCAAGCTGATTAAGGCTGTTCAGCTGTGGCACATTAAAAGTAAACTGAAATCAGCAGGGTTTGGCAGAAATGAATGATCTAAAATGCAGTAAGTTACAGTTGTCAAGTGCTATATTGTCTTATGGCTCTTTAACCAAGTATGGTCCTTTAATATCATAGCTGGCCTTAGTCACCAATAGGGAGGCTTGCATGTTGACATGGAGCATGACAAAGTTCAATTGTACTGGAAAATTTGATAATTGTCTATAACTTCAGCTGCCTATATTTCACTGAACCTGAAATTTTTTTTTAACATAGGGTTTTCACATAAAGTAATCTCTGCCTATGCATTTTTCACCATATGTGCAGTGTAAAATAGGATATGGTTTGCTTTAAAGCACCTTGATAAGAGTTTCTTTCATGTGCTGCACATCACAGCTGAGTAGGTTTTAACAAAAAAAAAAAAAACAAAAGCACTTTCCGCACTGCAATGGAAGTTCGCCACACTCATAAATAAGCTATACCTGAATTTAGAAGAAAAAGTAATCATGTAAAGATTTGCCAGTGTTGGGTAGCAGGCTTGCACGTTACAGGTGCTTTCCCATTGCACGTTAGCAATGTTACAGAGGTATTAAATTACATGTTTCATGATCTCAACCCTGCATTTTAAGTTATTAACCTATTTTATGACACTGGACATTACCTTGAAAGGCAGCCATACACAACCAGATATTTTTAGCGATGTGACAAAAGATTATGAGCACTTGTGAGCCTCAGAATTGTTTGGCATCACACTCAGAGATTTTCCTGCATGTCCTAAAACCCCTATGGAGATCCCAAATTGCAGCAGACAACCCATGTTATTGGAGAGAGATATGCCTGGGTATAGGAGCATATGCAAAACATAATTGTGTTTTATTATCTTACCTTTTGTTCTCCAGAGGACGTCCATCACTGGAAATACTCCGTGGAATGTTTGCAGAGCGTTCGGGTGTCTGTATTTTCGAATCGCCTTTAATAGAGGAGACCCTTGATGATACAGGGCTCTGCAGCTGAGAAGGAACTTGTCGCAGCCCAGCAGCCTCCCCCTTGGCTGCATTTCTTTGCCACTTGTTGTTGTTCCTGAAAGGGAATTTTAACTCATATGGGATCCCCTCTGTTACTTTGTATTCCACTGTTGGCATGCGGTACGTCTCTGTGCAACCTCTAGTTTAAAAAACAAATAAAAAAAGTTGTCAACACATGGATTCAAAGTAAAATCAGCTATTTGTTGTTACCTTCAATATACAGTAAAAGATATGCCTTCAAAGACATTCAAATATAACAAGTAGTGATGTACCAATACCGATTTTCAGTATCGAGTACCGATATTTTTTTTGTGGTACTCGCCAATACAGAAAACCGATAGCGGAAGTCCCATTAAGGAAGCCAGGCAGCGTGTAATGACTCGCCACTTGGCTTCCCGATTAGCAGGGAAACAGTCTCCATGCTCCCTCGTCACCTGGTGATGAGGGAGCATGGAGTCGGCTTCCCGGCCAATCAGGTAGCCGGGCAGCGAGTAATGACTCGCTGCCCGATACCAGAAGTATCGGGCCTAGGCATCGGGGTATTTGGGTGAGTACGAGTACTTGCCCAAATACTCAGCATCGATACTAGTATCGGTGCATCCCTAATAACAAGCACAGGCTAGTCGCACCAAGCATAAAACACAACATTCAAAACAACCCACACTTAATAAAGTTCAACATCTTAAAAGGAACCTGTCATGAAAGAATAAAGGGAGCTACCATCTCTGATTCATTTTTAAAGGTGCATGATCTGTATGACTGTCATTTTCATCTCCTAGAATATCTGATATGTGCATTATTTTTCCAGGCCAGTCACCAAGTAGTAAATCAAGGATAAGAATTGACAGTCCTGGATCCTGCATCTTCCATAAAACCAGCAATGGTAGCTCGCATATTTTGAATTTGACAGATCCTCTTCAAAGTACATATGCAGTTCAAACATTTACAATATATTTCTGTAATACGTGCATGAAAATACCTGGGGATTCTGCCACAAAGCCACAGCGCTCCTAACTTCCTGTGCACTGTGGCATTAAATTCCCCAAGCAGTGTTCTCTCCTTTAACTCAAGAACATTCACCTAAGGTTGATTGAGGCGGGGTGTAGGTGTTCTGTATTCCAGAAAAGTAGAACTGGGCTGCACTGACAACACTGCTTGCAAACATAATGCAGCAGAGGCATAGTGTTGTTTAAGCTCAAAAGAAATTTAGGAGCCCACAGGATTTCTGCCAGCTTAACGGGTATGTTTCTGCATTTGCAGCTTTTTTTTAAAGAGAAAGAACAAAGAAAAGTTTTGCAGAGATGTATTGCATGTTTTCTTTTAATTTTACCCATACGCATACTCTATATAAAAATAAAAATTAGACTTCTTTTCTTATATACACAAGTGTATAACCTAACAGGTCTTCAGAAGAATGTGGTTGGTAACCACTGTTCTTAACCCCTTAAGGACAAAGGCCTTTTTAAAAAAAATGTGTTTACATATTATAATCCACATTTTAGGCCTGAAAATTACTTAAAACCCCCAAACATTATATATTTTCTGAAAGCCATTATATATTTTCTGGAATAAAATGGTGGCAGTTGCAAATTTTTATGTTGCATGACATTTAGAGAAAAATATAAAAGATGAGGTTACAATGAGTAAATAGATACCAAACATGCCCAGGTTAAAAATTGTGTGTTTCCTTAAAACTGCGACAGAATTCAGTACCCCAAAAAGTCCATAGACGCTTTAAAAGCCCCCACAGGTCATCAGTTCAGAGATACGTGTAATATTGGCCCTAGAATTATTGCTCTCTGTCTGGCGTGTGCGGTGATACCCAACATGTGTAGCGCAATCGTCGTTTCCTACATAGGCACACCCAACGCGTGTGTATGTGACAACGCGCATGCCCGCGGGGGACTTTAAACATTTCAAAAATATATATTTTTACATTTAATTTAATATTTTTTTAAAACTTTACTACAGTAGAATCGCTTCTACTGTAACTGCTTTACAGTAGAAGCGATTCTACTGTAGTAAAGTTTTTAAAAAAAACTACAAGCTCTACAAAACTGAACAGACTCCCGGCGGCTTTTTCTTTTTAACCCCTTCAGACTTCATGACGGGATTGTCCCGCGGTCGTGTCAGACTTCTGCAATGTGTGACAAATGTCTTGATACAGTATATGGGTATTTTCTGCTTCAAAGTGACATTTCTCCATGAGGTTGCTTGGCAAAGAGTTCAGAAAAAGGTTGCTAAAGAAGAAGCAAAAACTGACTTTTGCTTCTTACATAAGAGTATAGAAGTCGGCATCTTTTACTACATAATGAACACCTCAGAGGGCAATTGCAGAACTCTGAAAATGTTGAAATAATGTCTTTAGCAGCTATAGAGTCAGCTGGAGACAAAGGAAAACTCTTGTAGACTGTCTACCAGAGCAATCCACAAACCAAAAAGCTTATCAAATATTAAAAATTAACTGTGGAAATCCTATCACAAAAGAGGAAACGAGCTTTGCTTAAAGACAATTTTGCTTCTGCAACAAGCCACAGATTATTGTAAAACTCACTCTGCACTTCCTTATAAATAATGAACAAACAAACCAGAATTTCATTGTTTAGATTGATTAAGCTGTAAAATAAAAGAATTATAATTACATTGAGCTAAACCAAGACAAAGGGTTTACGGACATAGCCAAATATAAATGGATTATACTTATGTTTCTAGTGGAAGCTGCTAATAGTTCTATTGCTGGTCTCTGAACTTTGGTCAATGACACCAGCTAATTATAACAGCAATAAAAGAAAGGTGTGTCCTTATTTCTTTTTTCCTACTTTGTTCATGACATGCTATTTGGTCTGTCCTTCTTTCAGGTCTTGTATGCTATTTTTTAGCATGTCGTGTTTTGTTGTTGATTCAAGTACAGAAGAAAAATAACTTACATTTAAAATTGTCTGCCACCAGATTAAGCCATGTTATTTATAGTCTTACCTAGCTTAGATTCGATTTATTATTTGTTCAGCTGAAGTTACAATAGGGAAAGGACGGTTTACTTATTTCATACTAGCAGGAAGAATTAGTGAGAATGTTTACTCAACTTGACCATTCACTGATAACAATGATATGCTTTCACAGTAGTAAATGTAGTGCCACCTTAAACATGGTCCAGTGTGCAGTATTCATCTCTTAAAAGGATAAATATGGATACAGAAAGACTCTTAATATAATCTTTACCATCTATAGACAGCACCTATAGATAACATCTATTTAGAATTTCCATGTCTGTAGGCTATTCTGTCCCAAATGAGCCCATTCAGATCAGGATAGGCCACCACTAAAGGGCTCCCAGGCCTGAGGAAAACATGCATTTGTGTGCAACAACCTTCCATTAGAAAGATTGCTTGACATCTGGATTGTGCATACCTAGCCACCTGCCATCTAGAATCGATAGTTACCTTAATTTTGTTTACTGGTATATATATATATATATGTAAAGGTATGCCATAAACCATATGAAAACATTGGGCATATTTCATTGGTTTGTCCTTGTCTTAAAACTCTACATAAAGGCGAGTTCATACTTCTGTTCTCTAACATAAAACAATGTAGGTGCCCAGTCCCTGTCTAACAGAGGGAAGCCAAAATTCACATTATACATCGATCAGCCATAACATATTGATTACCCGTCTAATATTGAGCAGGTCCCCCTTTTCCTGACAAAACATCCCTGTCCTGTGGAGTCATGGAGACTCCACTAGACTTCTGAAGGTATGCTGTGGTATCTGGCACCAAGCTATCAGTAGCAGATCCATTAAGTCCTGTAAGTTGCGAGGTGGGGGCTTCCAGAAATTGTATTTATCTTTCCAGCATATCCCACAGATGTGCAATTGGAATAAGATTTGGAGGCCAAGACAACACCTCAAAGCCGTAGTTGTGTTCCTCAAACCATTCTTAAACAATTCTTGCAGTGTGGTAGGGTACAATATCCTGCTGAAAGAAGCCACTGCCAAACCATTTTCATGAAGGGGATTACTTGGTCAGCAACAATGTTTAGGTAGGTGGTACATGTCAAAGTAACATCCACATGAATGACCCAAAATTTTCCAGCAGAACATTGCACAAAGCCTTCACCAGCTTGCCCTTTTTCCCATAGTGTATCATGTGGCCATCTCTTCCCCATGTAAGCAGCATGGTAGCTCTTCTATTGGAATGGACCAGCCTTCGCTCCCTTACATGCATCAATGAGCCTTGGCCATCCACGACCCTGTCACTGGTTTACTAGTTTTCCTTGCTTTGGACCACTTTTGGTAGGCCCTGACCACTGCAGACTGGAAACATCCCACAAGAGCTGCAGTTTTGGAGTTGCTCTGACCCAGTCTTCTAGCCATCACAACATGGCCCTTGTCAATGTTGATCAAATGTTTACACTTGCACACTTTTTCTGCTTTTCAACACATTAACTTCAGGGTCAAAATGTTCACTTGCTGCCGAATATTACCCACCTACTTCCATGTGCCATTGTAACAAGATAAACGTTATTCACTTCAACTGTCAGTGGTCATAAAGTTATGGCTGATTGGTGAACACTTTCACTGATTGGTAAATACATATTTTATTAGATCTGCATATAATATTGGTGTGAAGAAAAAAACTTACCAAAAGATCAATGGAAACTTTTGTGGATTTTTTTGTAGAGTAGGTATATCAATTGACATTTGGATAGATGCTTTTTTGTTAGTCTCTCCTAGCCATATTTGAGATCTTACACATATCTAAATAAAAAATAAACCCAATTAATACCTGCGTGGGATTCCATCATCATGTGGTGGGATGATGACAACTTTAACTGTCACTGATGTTCTAAGAAGGTCAATCATCTGTTCGTGGCTCAGTGTAGCAACAGCAACCTTGCAGATTTCAACCAGACGGCTTCCTTGTCTTAAACCAGCCTGCCAAGCATATCCGTAGGGCTCTACCTCTGCGACTATTCCTTCATAATTTACATGGAAGCCAAGCTGTCCAAGTCCATTCCTTCTCAGTGTCATTTCCACCGTCTCACAACCTTTAGTTATTATCTGAAATTTAGAAATATTGTTAGTAATAAAAAGGAAAAGAAAATAATCAGACAAGTATGAGAAATCACAAAAGAAACCTCTACATCTAAAGGATAGATGTAAAATGCAATAGTGATGAATATTTCTTGTTCCTTTACCAAATGCACCACACCAGATATAGGGGTGCTCCATTTGATAGACCCCAACAAACGGTCAAATCAGGCAATCCATTCTTAACCAGGGGAGGGAACCCACGACTCCAATCGCTCACAGATGTCCTCCAATAAAAGACAGATCTGAATAACACTTCTTTAGTGGGGAAACAATCACCTCTGATCTTTATCGAACTGTAGGCCTCCTCAGTCTGCTGGTCTAATTACATTATTGGAGGACATCTGTGAGCGATTGGAGTCGAGGGTTCCCTCCCCTGGTTAAGAAGGGAATTGCCTGATTTGACCTGTTGTTGGGGTCTATCAATAAGGTGTGCACCCCTATATCTGGTGTGGTGCATTTGGTGAAACAACAAGAAATATTCATCATTATTGCCGTTTATATATGAACATATCTTCAGAGTTATGAACATTTACAGGACTTCACATCAGATGTATTTATAATTTATTCCCTGACATTTGTTTGAGTCATAGATTATTTTATTGTTTTGTTTTTTTGTATTGCTCATTGTTGTAGCTCGGCACATTCAGTTATTCATTTATAAGGACAATCCTACTGCTTTTAATTTAACACTTTAAATCTCCTGTTAAGTATCCTCTTTATTACAGCCCCCCTATGGCACTTTGGATAAATGCTGCACATTTAGAATCAAAGCACTTGAGATCACTAGTTTTTAATAGGTGCAAGCTAGTATTCCGTGTGATCTAAATTTGATAAGAACCTTTCATGCATTAGTACAAAAAAGAATGCATCAGACATCTAGAGCATTACTACATATAATGTAACAGTAATTAAGGGTGTGGACACTCCAGTAGTGCTATGTGGTACTATGGAATGCCTTATTCTCCTGCCTGGCAAGAAGTGGCCATGGGCAATACTGAAGTTTGCACTCTGATACCCACACTCCATGACTGAGAAAATGGTGCCACCTGCCGTGTGTTAAACATTTGTAAAAGTACTTAGAGCCAGAGTTAAAAGTTTTTTAGAAACTGTGTAACTTTTTAACCACGTAAGTTATATAGGTCTTACTTCTAGTCTCTTGACAACCTCCTTTATATCATCTGTGTTTTGGCTATAACTTCTTATGAACACACTATCCCCTCGTTCATAGAACATTTTAATAGTTGTGTTGCTGGACGTCCATCCTATAACATCACGGCTTGAACAGTTGAAGATAACACTTTTTGTTTCTTGATCAATTAGGGCCAGTATTTCATTTGAAATGCACAAAAGACAATCAACCTCCAGGGCATTACTAAAGTCTTCAACTTGTACACCCCAAACAATTGCTCCTGTGCTGTACAGCTCAGCCCATGAGTATGGCTTTGCCTTTTCCTTTTTCTTTGAGGCCAGAGAGATGAAGGGGAACTTTCCAGATGAGTCAATGGAGGTGTTGGTGACATTTTTTTCTGCAAGGTCTTTTAGGTACTCTTGGTGGGTCCTCGTTGCCATTGCTAAGAACTTTTCAGACTTGTGAGCTGCATTCTCTGCATTTATGATTTTAGCTAAAAGGAAGTCCCTGAACACACTGGATTTCGGAAAAGTAAAGCTTTTGGGGATTGGTGGGCCAAAGGCAGGTACATCTCTTGACCGTGTAACAGCAACGCTGCAATAAGGAGAAAAAAAAGATCAAACCATTCAACAGAAGAAAAATATGTTTTTCTACTTTGTCTAACTACAAACACAAGAGTAAAGCTATTCACATAAATTGAGGGGCAGGTAGACCACCTGTGCATGCAAAATTCAACTGCTTAATTTTTCTTTTTGACGAGGTCTGCATATACATACAATTACATAAACACAAGAGGACTCCTCTTACCAAAATTCTTAAGATAGGTTATTACTGCAGCCACAGGTAGTAATAAATGGTAGCCGCAACTCCAAAGTCACAGAAAGATATAAAACGCCACCGGTTTCATGGTCAGCATATACACAGGCCACTTTGTTCTTAAGGTGGCGAGTGACTTTACAAGAACCAAGTAGCCTGCTTATATGCTGCTTGTGAAACTGGCAGTGTTTTGTTTCTATTATAGGCATACAATCGCATATCACATACGTGTATATGTCTACAAAGTACACAGCTGATTGACCCCTCAGGTGTGTTTAAATGTGAGGTGTATCCAAAAGGCACCATAAACTGCAACTGGAACATTAAGCCACTCTAAAGGGTCAGATCTGCATAATACTAGCAAATTTAAATGATGTCCGTATACCTCATCTTCTTAAATAGTATTTGCAAATGAAAAAAGGTTCATTCTAAACCTTTTACAATCAAGTGTATATTTTAAGAGCAATATTTAAAAAATTTGACACAAACAATTCATAATTTCTTATTGAGCATACAAATCTCAAAATAAATCAAGCTATGAAAGGTTATATGCAAGAACAGTGTGAATTAGCAAATACCATCATATTAGAATGCAGATCTGCAATTGATTACTCATGTATACTGCACAGCACAGGCCACTGTACAGTGCTGATACATCAAAAGCAACCAGTGAAGACAAAAAATAATGTGTTTTCACTCTCTACACTTAATGCCTATGAATTCTATTAACAGCAAACAGTTAATAGCTGAGCTCAACCAAGTGAAAAAGGCATTGTATGCTTCACAAATCAGAACACAGACGTCAATGTAAAATTCAAGTGGCATGCAAAGTGCCCATTCACTGTGGAACTGTACCTGTAACAGACAGAGTCCGTGCATGGGTTGTACGCTCTTACGACCACAAAAACATGCTGGAAATGAGAGCGGATGTTCTTGGGACTGAACGGCTGGGCTCCAGGCTCTTGAAACACTATTGTCACAATATCGTTTCCAATGTGACGCTTTCTCAACAGCTGCAATTAAACAAAATCACAGCTTTAGGCATTTAAGCAGCACAATAAAAGCTGCATTGCTAAAGCTCCAAAGCACAATGCATATACTGTATAGTTTATATGATGTTCCATTCACAGCAAAAAAAAAACCCTGGATTTAAAACAAATTTGCATAGAAAACACAATATTAAATCAAAACAATTACATTTGTGTACTCCTAAATAATATATTAAAATGAACCTAACAGCAGAAAACATAAATCTGATAAAAGGTCTTTTATGTAAAACTGGAATTATGAAAAGTCTCTTTGTTTGCAAAGAAATCAATTGGATAACAGGTATCATTTTTAGACTTGCAAGTAAAAAAATGGGAACTGGAAAGTAGCCCATAACTATGATAGGCAGCCTCATGGGGGTTAAGAGCAGGGATTAACCAATAAACTACAAAAGCTAGTAGATATTTTAACAAGAGGTTCCTAGAGCTTGGTTTCCATTGGTTACCATTTTAAAACGACCATAAACCCGTAGGATTTAATTCTAATAGAATTAGCTTTCGGAACGGAACGTTCGACTTTCTAATAGTTAATGGGTTGAAAATAATGATAATTTTCAACTGCAGTGGCAAAAAAAATAATCAAAGGACTAGGATGGAAATTTAGAAGATATATTGTCCACACACCATTCTGCTTCGGAATATCATCTTTATTCACATTCCGTTAGCATGACACATAGATGCTACAGTTTGAAGGGGATATTACTAAGACAGGATAGAAATTTGTCTCGAATGAATGAAATTCTAACAATGAATGTGGATTTAATTCAGGAAATAACTCATTCAAAAATTGTATGTTCAAATCAAACAAAATTTTTTTGTCCACGATGCATTATCAAATGTTTTTACATAATGTACCGTATGCATGTTCAAACTAAAATCTATTTTCTTTTTAAATTAGATCAAAATAATTGCTAATTTCTAGGCAGACTCTAAAAATGACTACCATTACCATTGCTTGTTTTTAAATAGTATTTTTAGGCTTGCAGGCTACTGCAACAATACACAAGTTTTCAGCAACAGCTCTGTACCCAGCAATAGTAGACAAAAGGCTGATCCACTCAATGCCTCCAAACCATGGTCGGTGACCTCCTTGAATCTTGGCATAAACACTGCATGTCCATAGACATAACAAGTGAAAACATGCTATATTAAATGAATAATACATTTCCGATTTAACTCTGAATGCCCCCACCCGCCTTCACCAGCAGTAAATTCTATTTGTGAACATAAAGCAAGCTGCAGGAATTCAGACTTCCGTTCCTATGGCAACATGTGCTGCCAACCACTTACTGTAGCGCACTTGTAATTATTTCTCTATGGAGCTGACTGTTTTAACTGCTTGGGATCTGCTTAATTACCTTAAATATAACATTACTTTATTGTCTATTTTTTAATAGGACATTCAGTACTGGAGATGGAAATGGCAGTATTGCGTGCTGAAAACTACTGACTTTTAATGTTCCAAGTTTAACGCTTCCTTTAATTTTAATAGTAGAATAATTGCATGTGCATCAGATTCTAGTTTAGGATGCTAAGCTTCCAAAGAAACCACATTTATTTTGAATGACAGTTAAAAATATTTTCAATTTTATTTTCAAAATGTTACAGCCTATTTTTTAAAAGATTACATGAGGTGATTCAAATCATATGTGATGCTAAGCCTAAAAAAAAAAAATATTTTCTACATAATGGTGCAATACTTTTTATGGTAAAAATACAGTTATTCTGATCAGATGTGTGTTTTCAGCAATCAGCAAAATACAGTCTTCAACGCAATGAAAACAAAAGTCTAAAAACATTTTCACTGAAACAAGTGAGCATAAACATGTGACACTCCACTAATGTGTATTTTAAATTTAATTACAGAAGGCTAAAAGAGACATATACTTCTAGTAAAATGTGCCTAAAATGCACACATGTACAATGGAATTTGGATAGACACAATAATGGGAATCTATCAAAACTGGAGCAGACAAAATCTGGAGCAGCTGTGCAAGGCAACCAATCAGCTTCTCTGTTTAATTTTTAAACCTTAACTATACAAACTGAAGAGATAAGCTTATTGGTTGTCATGGACAACTGCTCCAAATTCTATCGGCTCCAGTTTTGATAAATTCCCCTCATTTAAATAGAGTTTCTTTGTCGATTGGATATGCAAACATTACCACAGAGCATCATCACTCACTTTTAAACTTACAGGTTTAGATTTACATCCAAGTGCAACACAGTAGTACCTGATTAGCTCACCTTGCTCCCCTCAAGCAGTTCAATTTCTGCTTTTGAGTACTTATTTAAAGGAGAACTATAGGGTTAAGGCTTTTCCCCATAGTTCTCCTTAGGGTAACTCTCGCCAGCCTCGTCAGTAACTCTCGTCAGCCTAAGCTCAGTTTACCGCGAGCTACGGCTCGCGGTATACTGAGACGCCGCAGGATACCACGAGCTACAGCTCGCGGTATACTGAGACGCCACAGCTGAAGCGGATCCCGATAATTATGTCTGGATCCGCCCAGCTGCGTGAGTGACAGCTGGCTTTGCCTATCTAGGAGGCAGAGCCAGCTGTACCCGCCCCCTCCCCCGTCCGTTCCGCCAGTCAGCGCTTGAGGATCGGAGCGGGGAGGGGGGAATCCAGTCCCTCCCCTGTCACGGCAGAGAGCTGTGAGAGGATCGAGAAGTGAGCGAACGCCGGTATGTGCTCACTCACCTCCCGATCTACTGAGCCGGCCTGCGACAGTCTCATTGTCACAGGTCGGCTAGAACTATGAGGTGAGTGAAAAGCACTCATCTCATAGTTCTCCTTTAACATATATATTGGAAAATATATTATTTTAATGAACATGTCTGGATGAATGTTTTTTCATTCAGCCACGCACAGTGTGGTCTCTCCTGTTGCCACTGCTGAGCTCAGCTGCTGTGATGGCATACAGAGCACTACGCATGTGCAGGAATGTGAACAAAGACGGGGCTCGCTCCTGTAATGGCATCCAATAGCTGGCTCATCCTGGAAAAAGGAAAGGACAGAGCTATGCACAATATTAGCAGTTTTCCTGGCAGCCTTCACTGGGAACACAAATAGCCTACTTTTTAAACGCTGCTTAGTTTATTGGTACCTCTTTGGGCTTGTAGGCTGCATAGGCTATTTTTTTTTTTTTTTTTTTAACGGGATTAACCCTTTATATC